ATCACCAGTTTTAACTGGGACCAGTGCTTTGAAGGTGGGAGTTGATTATTGAACTTGGGGAGCTGTATCTGCTTTTGGCCCTCCTTCCTGGGATCACAGAGAGGTTATCCAAAGTCATAACTCTGCAGAACCTCACTTCTGAGCTCGCACCCTCCTTGCCAGGCTAGCTCTTTCTGAATTGTGTAACAGCATGTTTCTCTCCTCCCTGTTTCCCAGCATGGCTCAGTTTAGGGTCTTCCCATTATTTTATACATGCCAAGAGAGAGGGAAGGGGGCCACCAGGTGAAACATCTCGCAAGCATAGCGTAGTGCCTTGCCAGGGGCACACAGGGGAGAGTTAAGCCAGGACCTCAGCTGAGCATCAGTTATCAGCTCCTCTTTTTCCAGGAGCCTTTTATCATGGGAGGGAAAAAAAAGTGTGTTTCACCTTAGCACTTCTTTTTTTTTTGCCCTGCAACAGCCTTTTTGCAGAGAAATGAAGCACAAGCATGAGACAGCATTTATCATTTGTAAAGGTGTTTGCTGAAAAACAATACTTAAACTTAGAATGGCTAAATTATCTTCACTATTATATTCATTGCTTCTCTGTATAGCTCTGTTATGTTTCTATCAAAGCTCACAAAAATGTACTTTTTTCATATCCCCAGACTCCCATATTTTCTGTAGGTCCTGATATTCAGATGTGTGCTCATCCATATTCATCCTTTTTCCATCCGCAAGAACCATAGCAGAGCTGTCTGTCTCTGAATCAACATCTCTTGAGTCAAGCAGGACAGGAGGCAGTAGCTGTCTACAAGTCTGCTTTGTCCGGGAGAAAGAGCTGGTGTATCTTTCTCCGGGAGTGAGGGGAGGTGTCTGTAGCGGGAGGCAATTGAACTTGGGTGATGGGAGTGCATCACAGCTCTTGCTTTATGGCATCCCCTCCCTCTTTTTATTCCCCAGGCCTGTTTACATCCTTCAGTGAAAAGGATGCTCACATCTCTAGAAACCAGGAGATGAGATGGGTGAAGTGTCCTCTCTGCCTTGTTGATTGAAAAGCCTGTTCAGTGATGTGTTGGTTTGGAATGGATCTAGCACTGGTGTGGGTATCTGAAGGTCTTTCATCCCTGAAGCATATTGCTCAGGTCCTCTGTCCTGTTTGTACAAGAAAAGATCAGGGCTTTTTTTTTTTTTTTTTGGCCAACCCGCATCTGAGTGTACCAGGGCACTTCTGGTGAAGGAGCACTGTAGGACAGTTGATGTGGCAACTGTAGGTGACTTGAAATGGCATATTGGGGCCTTCAGCCTGCTATCCCAGGTAGAGGAGGATGTGAGCAGGGTCTTTGTGTGTACCTGCAGGATCCTGTGCTGCCTCATCTGCGCAAAGCTGCCTGTCAGTCATAGTCTGTCATCTTCTTTTCATCTTGATTTATCATCCAGCATAACTAGGTTTCAGAGTTTCATTTCAGCCTTACCTTCTCCCAGGGACAGGGAGATAAATCTAGGATGCAAGTGTTTTAACTCTCTGGTTCCAGGAGCAGGCCAAGAGACTCTTCTACCCCAGGGAGCGAGAGAAAACACAGCTGTCAGGGCGGATTTGCTCTTGGCATCTCTGGGGCTGGATTTGGAGAGGGGAGGTTTCCAGTTTACCACCTCTCTCAAGGATAATGCCACAGAGCACTGGCGCTAGGGCAGGGAGAGCACTTGATCACAGCACTTCCTCCAGAGCTGGGAAGTGTTGCGAGATTCATTGGCTTATCCCACATACATAGTTCTGGGAGGAGAGGGGGGGAGATACACAGGAGGAGAGATGTTTTGATCTTCTTTGTACAGTTTCTTGTTTGTAAAGCTCCAAATGAAGTTGAGCGAAGTCAGCTTTGTGCCTTGACCCAGTGGGATCTGAGATGTCTAAGGAGATTCTCTTTAGGAATCCACTTCAGTCCATGGAAGTAAGTAGGAAGCAACTCTCCTTGGCACTGACAAGCTAGCTGAGATCCTAGAGTTCCTGACTACCAAAGCACGGTTGTCACCAGCCCCAGGATTCCCTGGGTCTCGCCAAGAGTGATAGGCTGACTAGCAGATATCTTGAAGTAAGCCTGCTTTCCCAAAATAGTGTGTGTGAGTGAGAAGGGAGGGCTGTGTTACATACAGATGAGCCCTGGCCTGAGTGAAGAGTCCAAGGGGGATTGATTTAAATCTAGATGCTAGAAAGGTGCTAAGGGACAGAAGGGAAGACTAGCGGAGTGAGATTTCTTTAATCTAACAAAATGAGGGTACTGTTGCGCCAGGGCAGGGAAGGAGCTTTTTACTCTAAGGAACAGCACAGTCTCCCAGAGGCTGGTATAACATTTCAAACCTTGATTCCACATGTTTAGTAAGGCATTACAGCTTGCCTTCTTGAAAACAGTACAAGTTCAGATCTTAGTCTGGGATTATCACTCCTCATACTCTTAAAAGGATTCATTTCTGAAAGAAGCATTTAAGAAAAAACAAAGGTCATCTGAATTCTAGTTTCTTAAGCCTATAGGCTTCTTCTGTCATTTAGGAAATCCACCGGAAACCTGATCCGTCAGGGCTCTCTACCAGCAAAACGCATGCTAGGGCAGAGAAGAGCCTGTGGATCTCTGACTGAAGATGGGTTACAAGTTTGGAGGTTTCCCTGAAGTCCAGCAGGTCCTGTTAGTGTCAGTGTGGAAAGCAAGAGTTTGAGCCAATGGTGAGAGAGAGAGAGAGTTGAGAGCTGGAAATAGGTCACTCTTTACTCTTAGCTAAGCATAGCTGGTAGAGATTTACTGTCCTGTGTGCAGGGGAAGAGGTACACGGCTTCTGCAGTCGAATCCATTCGAGATACAGGAATGGTTCAGTTTTGGACTTCAGAGGTTGGCTACTTCTCCAAGCCAGAGGGAAAGGAATGGCCTCAGTGTATTTCCACAGTTGCCTAACCTGGTTTGTCTTGGTCTTCAGGGCACCTTTTTCCTCTTTCTTGCAGCATGTGCAACCCCACGGAGCGTACCTGATGTCTTGTTACCTGAAACACATCTCTTTAGGGTTATCTTGCTCTAGCTGATGTGGCTGGCAAGCATCTCCCCTCCGGGGAGCAACGGGGAAGGGTGGGAAGACACAGTAACCATACTTGTGTTCATAGTGCATCTCACTTACTGGCTTGAGTGAAGGCAAGGGGAATTGTGCACACCCAGAGCAATGGGCTATGGCTTTTTGCAGCCCTTTGTGGCTGGTCCTGGGGAGATGTATAGTGCCCAGCACTCCCAAAGTAGCTCAGCTATTGTGGTGCCTTGAAGTAACAGATCTGCTGTCATCTCTCCAGTCCAGTGTCTGCTTGTAGAGAACTGTTAGACTTTCGCTGTCCCTGGGAAACAGTTGGAAGCTGAGAGGTTTCCTGAGGCAGTAAGAGGTGAAATGCAGAGTGTGGATATGTAAGTGCTCAGCATGAAACCAGTGTTTGCAACACGAGAAAAAGGAGGATTGCTGTGAGAGGAGAGAGAGGGGAAACTGCTGGGGGATGTGCGAGAGGGAGGAGATGATGCTTCAGTTAAGGTTAATTCGGTCTCTTTGGGGACAGAGGAGACAGCATCTGCTAACTGGTCTGTAACTGTCACTTCTCTAGGCCCATCCCTGGTAAGGCTTTGCATCTCTGGCTGCCAGTTTCCAGCAGAGCAAGCGAGTGTCTTTGCCCTGCAGTGAGCCTTGCCCTGCTTGCAACACCAGTGGCCTGCCTGCTAGGGGCTTGGCCGTGGGGATGTGCACTGCTCTAATTTCTCTGCTGTTTTATTTATGCCATTCAAAGTTATCCACAATAGTAGTGTCAGCACTTTGTTATTTTTTTCAGTACCTGATAATTCATGGCTGTACTTTGATGCTTCAAACCAGTGCAGGAGACAGCTCTGTGCAAGCTACAGTGGCCTATCCATTGCCAGCATCAGACTGTAAATTTTGCTGCTTGCTGCCCCAGCCAGGCAGGCTTTTTCCCCCTGTTCCTTGTTAACTCCAGCAGCTGATGATCGTCTTTCCCAGGTTGATGTGATTTCTGTGATGCCAGAATCGGGTTTCTGCTGTTTATGTGCCGTACTGGGAATAACAGTCTAGCGATAACTGCTTCTGGCTCAAATTTCCACTAGCCAAGTAAATAAAGGTATTAACCCAATCTTTCCATTTCCTTTTTGTCCATAGCAAGTAGCTTTTTGTGACAAGCTGATAAAATGTTATTAGGCTTTTCCCTGACCTAAGTAAAGGGTAGGCAAGCAGACTTCATGCCTAGAAGTGATGAATTTTAATAGCAGCCTTTCAGTGCTGTTTTAGTCTCTTCCAGACTGGCTTCTCCACCTGGGATTAACTTCAGACAGCCTGTTCTTCCTACCCAGGAAATGGCTGGCTAGTTCTTGTTCTGTCGTGCTTGACAGGTCACAGGGACAGAAAAGCTCTATAGTAGCTGTTTCCGTGCATCTGCCTGTACACATAGGTGAGGTCTTCAAAACATTAGTCTGGCCACAAACCGTGCAAGAATATTATTGGATTTGACTCTGCAGCCAGGTTTGATCTTTTCTTCCTTCAGAGGTCAAGGCTCAAACATCTCTGTAAGTCATTTCTAGACAGTGACATTCAGCCAATGTGCATGGCAGAAGCCTACGTGGACTGGGACCCTCAGGGAAGAGGGTGATGAGTTCGGACAGCCGTGGTAGCGTTACATTTCCGAAGGGCCTAGAGCAATCATTTCCTAAGTGGGTGGGAAAGTCCCGGAGGGAGGGAGGGAGGGAGACTGGAGGGAGATGCCTGCCAAAGACAGCCCTGAGCCTATTCCCTTATGTGCTAACTAGCAATGAAAGTAAGTAGTGATTAATTCCTGAGCATCTTGCCTTTGATATGCAGTACCACATTCTCCAGAGAGAGGGAAATGCTGTTGTGGTGCACTAGGGAGATCTGGTGCCAAGACTGCCAGGGCCGGTAGGAGGAGGGTTGTGGGGAGCATGGACATGGGCTTGACCTGAAACATTCTCTCTCTCCAGCTTTCATCCTCATGATTATTCTGGCCCTTATCCGCATCAGCAGAGGCCAAGCAGAGGGTCACCCGTCTGTGGCCCAGCTGTCGGGCATCCGCAATCTCTTTGGGGTGTGTGTCTACTCCTTCATGTGCCAGCACTCCCTGCCGTCCCTCATCACACCCATCTCCAAGAAGAGGCATGTCAACAAGCTCGTGCTGCTCGATTATGTCCTGATACTGGCCTTCTACAGCCTCCTGTCCTTCACTGCCATTTACTGTTTCCGCAATGACACCCTCATGGACATGTACACGCTCAACTTCACCAACTGTGAAATCATCAACATCGCCTTCATTCGCTACTTCCTGGGCCTCTTCCCGGTCTTCACCATCAGCACCAATTTCCCCATCATTGCTGTGACCCTGCGCAACAACTGGAAGACCCTTTTCCACAGAGAAGGGGGAACCTACCCATGGGTGGTGGATAGGATTGTCTTTCCTGCCATCACACTGATTCCCCCAGTGCTGGTGGCTTTCTGCACCCACGATTTGGAGTCCTTGGTGGGGATCACAGGAGCCTATGCTGGGAATGGGATCCAGTACCTCATTCCAGCTTTCCTCGCATACTGTAGTCGGAAGGACACTCAGCTGGTCTTCGGCAGCGGTACGGTTAACAAGCACCTGTCCCCTTTCCGGCACACCTTCTGGATTGTGTTTGTGCTCATATGGGGCTTTTCTTGCTTCATGTTTGTGACTGCAAACATTGTTCTGAGTGAGTCCAAACTCTGAAATGGGCATAGCAGTGTGCTCCCTCTGGAGCTCCGGAGGAGACTCCAGCATTTCAGCTTCTCTGGGACTGTGGAGGGAAAAGTAGAGCCAGCGTGAAGGGAAGTTTCCAGGCCACTGGTTTGGTGACACAGGTCAGACCTGGCCATAGACTTGCTTTGCTCCACTTCCACTTTGGATGTGGATGTAAAAAGGCTGAGCCTGCTCCAATCCTGGTTCACAGACTCGCTGTACAAAGCCGTGGGGCTGAGCTCTTGGCAGCCTGTACGATTAACCAGTGCCCAGCCATTTCTGCCTTGAGCTCTGTTCAAGCATCACTTTCTCTGCCCCTACAGTGGCCCTTCTCTGATGCTGCAGGTTTCGGCACGCAGGAGAGCCAACAGCCTTGTCTGCTCGCTACACTAGTTGGCTACGTGCCCCTTCCTGCAGAGGCAGGTACCTACTGTGCACAGAATCCAGCAGGAGTTTGGGGAAATGAACCTCTCTCCAACAGCAGCCCCCACAGAAATAAACCTCCTGTGCCAGTCGATGGGGGAGAAAATAAATTAGGGTGGGAATAGCCCTAGCTTTTTTTTTTTTTTTTTTAAATCTGTTACACTTTCTTTTTCCAGAAGCATTAACCTGTTCTGTGCTCTGGGTAAGGAGCACCGTGGATTGCCTGGCATCTGGGATCTCTTGCTTAGCAGAACTGGATTTTTTTTTTTTTTTCCTCCAGCCCTGGAGTTTACGTTTGCACTTCTCATCCTATTCTCCTTTGCTTTGGCAGCCTTAGTTCTACCGAGCAATGTTCATATGCATGCACGGATGTAGCTCTTCACCCTTGGAAAGGAAGACACAGCCTTGCTTCCCTTGGCTCCTGCGTGCAGCTAAGAGACTTCAGCTGGCAGAGCCATTCTCCATTTCACACAGGGCTGGTGCAACAGGCCAGGCCCCGGCTGCAGTGGTCAGGATTTATGTGGGGCTGGGGAGGTGCTAATTACCTAGGCCTGATGCATGTTAGATCTGCAAGAGCCCTGGCTGTGCACACTGACACATTTCCAGCCTCCTGTGCTGGGTAATTAGCCTTGAAACAAGGTGGGTGTTAACTCAAGGGAATGGGCTCGTGCCAGCAGGAAAAGGCTATGCTGTGGTTCAGCTGTCTCTCTGCAGGAGCAGAGCTTGTGTGATGGGGGAGAGAAAACGAACCCTGCTGAAACTGCTCCTGAACTCACCCATCCTCTCTTTCTGCGCAGGGTTAAGGTGAGCTTTTTGCCGGTTTTATTCAGCTTATCTGAGAGTTTGCTGGGCTCCCAGATAATTCTCTGCCTGTTATCTTGGGCAGCTAATGCCTTAGATTATAATCTCTGCTTCTGAGGCTTCTCTTGGTCGCTATAATACCACCCAGTGACAGATGGCATTGGTTCCAGTGATCGGAGGCCCTTAGGCAGAGATCATATAGGCTTTCGTAACAGAGAAGGAAGAACTTCAGAAGTTTTCATCCGAAATATTTTAAGCTTTTCTTCTCCCTCAGCCCTTATCAAAGCAGGTTCAAAGCCACGTGCATGCCACTGGTGCTATATCCTCTTGCCCTCTGCACTGCTATAGTATTAAGTGTCACTGCTCACTAAAGGCAAGCTTTGAACTGCAGCTGCTTTTTAATCAAGCTCTATTTTCAAATAGGACTTCCTAGTGCTCCTCTTGGGGGAATATGCAAGTACCTGGAGCTTTATGGAAAAACCTACATGTTTTTTAAAGCAAAAGTCCCTTCACCCCTCAGGCCTGAGGACTGTGACGGTGTCCTTGCTGTGCTGCTTGGAGAGGATCTGGGGAGACCATTTTCCCTCATCTCCAGCTCCATCCTAAACAGGTTTTGACAGCCCTTGCTAGTGAACTTAAACATCCCCAAGTGCTACAAGGAAGCTGATGTGGCATCTCGAGTGCCAGATTAGCAAGTTACTTCCACAGGTAGCCAGTGCTGGTGTCTCACTTGGGAAGAGTGACAGTAGCTATGCAGTTTGGAGGGCAAATTCCCTGGGCAGCAGAGCGGGGAGCCCTCTGTGAGGCGTGGGGCAGGCACTGCCAAACTGTTCTCTTCTGTTGCTTGTTCTCACGGCTCTTGCACAGTCTTGGCTGCTGGAAACAGGACAGATCGCAGATGCTGTGGTGGGGCACGCTGGGCTGTTCTGTCCTAGTGCAGCTGGGAGATAGGCAGAGCTCGAGGGAGGGATTTAATCCTGATGAAATGAGCCTTCAGAAGGGTGGAAATATTGCAGGAGGCTGCTCCTCGGTGCAAGTGCACAGGTGTGGATTTATGGAGGGGGCTGAGACCTTTCCCAGCAGGCTGTTTGCCCCAGGCTGCCTGTGCTTTGCAGGGCACTTGAGTCAGCTCCGTCCCTTCATGCACTGAGCTGAATTTTTTGCCTTCACGTGTCGTTGCCAGCCAGAGAACGGGCTGTCCTCTGTTACTTCCTTGTTTTCCTCCATTCATCCTCCTTTCCCCACTTAGGGCTGCCCTTTCTTCCCCTCTTTCTGCCCCTAAGCCACAGAGTCAGAGAAGGGAGCTCTCTCTTCGTACAGCAGCAGCTTTCAACGGCCGCGGCGAGAGCAGGGTGCAGAGGCCTGAGAGCGCCCAGCCTCTCTGCCCCTTCCCACCCCCCCCCCGGGTGCCACCCCACGGGCGCCCGCAGGGCA